GCGCTAGACCAACATAAAGGGCTTGATGACTCTCTGTTCTTTCTGCCTACATAACTTTAAAAATAAAATTATTAATTTTATATACGTAAATTATAAAACAATAAAATAAAATAATCCTATTCTATCTAAGGAAGTTACAGAATAGTAATGATAAATTATAATATGTCTAGCGGAAAAGTATAGTTTTACAGATAAATATTATATCACAGATTATAATAATACTCAAATATACGGTAGGTATATATTTTTCAGTAGTTTCGCCATTGTAAGAAATGAAATATTGTAGTATTTACTTTGCAAAAATAGTGATATTAATCGTGAAACAATTTTTACAGGAACAAACTAAACCAAAAGTTGCAAAAGTGTATTATTTTTTCTTTTGGAGAAAATGTCATGTGATACAAAACATTATTGTATTGGTACTGAAAAAGTATAGTCGTACTAAATAATTAAAATTTTTTGATACTGCTATATATAATTTTTATATGCCAATTCTTTTAAAATACGTACATTGTTTTTGAGAACATTTCACGAGGAATTTTGAGTGTAAAAAAATTTTATTTGAATACTTGTGATAACGATATCAGAGAAAAATTTTTGTCATTTTTCAATATGTAATTTTGTGGTAGACGGCTGATAAGTGAGGGCCTTGTGATATCACATCATAGGTAAAGATATTAAACTATAGATATTTACCTATATCTATAGTTTAATATCCATTTTTTGACAGAAACTTGATAGGTATAAAAATAGCATGATCGTGAGGATGTAATATCTGTTCACCGCGGCTTTGTTTGTCGCGAGTCTCTGGTATTCGTTACATTCTATGTAGGAATTTTGGATATTTTTTTCTTAATGCCCTCTTACTTTGTGAGAAACCTCTGTGGATAAACATTTCAACAGTTTATGTTTAACGATTTTAAGTCCCAAAGCAATCAACATCAAATATAATCATTACACTTAGGAACAAACGAAAAAGTATTAAGTAAGATTTTGGAAAGCGTGCAAAAAACGAGCGTTAAATATGGACTTCGCATTAATAGAACTAAGATGAACCTGATGTTTAGATTGAGCGGGCATCTTTTAACAACCAGAGAGTTGTCTGACCTGGATTCTGTGCAGAAATTTGTTTACGTTATTACTACAGTGCACCGTACAAACACCTCGATTCTGGCTAAAATAAATGTAAACACTTGCACGTTGGACATGGCCAAACGAGAACTCGAAGTATAAAGAAATAGTTATATGGAATGAAAGCGGGTTAAAGAAGAATACTAACAGGATAGACCGAAATGGTGGCGGAGGCTTGAAAGACAAAGATTCAAATATGTAAACGGATGGTTGCAAATTGCATGGCTTGGAGAGTGATAGTGCAGAAGGTGATGACTTTAAGTAGTCACGACGCCCAGTGAAGTGAAAATAAGACAGATTTTAATGCGACAACAATATTGTATCGTCAATAAGGTAACATATTATATTCTATTAAATATACCTATTTTAATAGTGAATATATCGAAATATGTTTTTAGTTTCTGAAATTTTATCTATCAAAAATAAATGGCTAGATTAATTTTTCCGTTGCGTTTTGTTATTTATGTCACAATGATTAATTGGTAGGTAATCAGATGGTCATAGAGTATTTATGATTATTGTCCTATATAAATAAAGTGTTGGTTTCATTTATAATCGAAATAAAATGTTATTTATAAAAGTCGATTAATTCCTAGTTACACATAACATAGTGTACCTATCTTAGTTTGAGTGGCAGATAATTAGTATGTGTAATTAAATATTGTAATTACAGTTGAACTTTAGTCTTCACATTAAACATGTAAGTACTCACAGCTACAAAAAAAGAGGATAAAGTAAATAGAATATTTACTTCATCTAATTACGTTAATTCTATATAACTCTTAGTTATAATGAATTAATGATAAACTAAAATAATAAATCATACTATCACTGTTATATTCAAAATAGAACATAATAAAATATGTATATAAATAATATATAACAAAATTGTAACTAGTCTGTACATGGGAGATTTTTAAAAGAAATTGATATAAGAGGTTTTAATAAGAGCAATAGAAGTCAAAAGAATAATTTTTAGAAATTTTGTCTGTGTCTGTATGTTTGTTCCGGTATAACATAAAAATTCATATTATGGCAATTATGACACAAGATAAATTGGAATTGCCAAGAACACGAACTAAACAGTGAAACAAGGTACTTATCTAAAAATGAAAATGTACAATAAATTACCCAATACAATAATACAATATCAATAAACAAGTGTAACAATAAAATGAAGACACTTTTAGGCAACATCGTGAACGTGACCGAATGGCAAAATTCTAATGTTAAATTATGACATGTTTTTAATTGTAATCTGTTTGACATTTCTAATTTTGAAATCATAATCATCATTATTGACATGCAGTTGTATTATAATTAATTATTGCTTCCTAACGTTATTTAAAAAAAATGACATCTCTTTTCTTTGTCATTTAACAATATTATATTTATTTTCATGATTTATGAATCTAATAATTATAACTAATATAATCTCGTCATCAAATATAAATAATAGTTATACTTTAAAAAAATATGAATTGTAATGAAAAATGAATTATGCCTCCGAATATCAGAGAGAACTTACATATAAATTAAAGTTTAATGGTTAGCTGGCCTACAGAATACTCGTCGAAAATACGTACGTTTGCTTTAATTTTTTACTTATAATATTGCACGAGCTACCAAAAGAAGGCGTCGTTTAACTTTTTTCTACCTGCTGCGACCCTCGTGATTTGGGTTATAAATATTCTGTACTATCATTTGTATTAATATGCAATCTAGGATCATTTATCTGTGTACGAAACTTTATTCAAATTAGAACGAGATTGATTAACACACTTATAAACAACTTTGCAAACTTTCACATCTATAATATTAGTAGGATTTCTATAATGTCCCTTGGGGAAAGTTATTAATTTTTGTGAATATTAATTACCATTGGATTTTGTTGGGTATGTACTTATTAGGTTACTCTACTAAAAATATTGTAAACTGTAATTTAATTCTATAGAAAAATAAATAAATATAAGTACAGAATGTACAGCAGTCCTTAGTTTTCGAATTTGCGAAATTTAGTTATCCATAGGTAGGTACTATCTTTTATATATTATAGGTACCTATAGATAGTGTCATTTCATAATTAATTTTGTGTAAATAATAAAATGAAGTGATTACTTGCTCAATGGTTAGTATTGTAAAAATCACGTATGATAGTCATTTATTGCAACATAACGCAATCGCAACACGTGTTTATTTTTACCATTATAATTTATAACATTAGTATGTACCTACGAAAATTATATGACAATTTATATTTCGTTCACGTGACCAAGATACATTGATTGATCAGGATAAATGGTAGCCTATATCCTTCATCCATTCCAAATTGTTTGTATTCACCAAATTTCATGACTATCAGTCGAATCGTTAGGACAAAAGATACCGAACGAACAAACAAACAAAAGACACGACGCTAGAAGGAGTTATTTGTGAGAAAAGGGTGCCCTAAAAAGGTAAAATAATTATATAAATTGTAAAATCTTTTAGTGAGTTGGTTAAGTTTATGAGTTAATTTAACAACGACCTTTTGAGCTATATTCAACGTTAAGATGTAGGTACTTTGTCAACATAATTTCGAATTTTATTATACGCCTTTAAAATGTTTTTAAGCGACTTTAAAAGGATAATGCTACTCAATTTGCTTGTATTTTTTTGCAATGAATAAAAAAAAATATCGCGATATCTTCGCCAATTTTGAGTTGATTGTAATAAACTTTTATACAAAGTAATATATACGGTAATAATTAATCAATGTATATGGTTTTATAAAATCTATTGTCTAATAGTTTGGTAATATTTCAGAGAGTTAATACACACCAATCTTATACGCGCTCGCTTAAAATGAATTTATAAAGTAATATTAGCTAAAAGTACAGTACATATATTGTAAGGTAATGATGGACCAAAACTTTCCATAGAATTCAAAGAGGTCAGCAGTAGTGAAAGTAACTTGTGCTCGTAGATAATATCAGTAATTTGAAGACTGATTGTGAACAGCCTCCGAGATTCAACGTGTGTTAACAAATGAATATGGAAGTTATATTCGCGCATCCAAGATTCCATACTATACACACCTACCTCTCATTATCTGGTAATTAGTGGTTAGCAGTAAAGTAATTTACTTGTGTATAATTTGTTTTTATACTTTATCTGACGCATGTCTGTATACGATCTGTATATTCGACATAATAAGTTAAAAATCTCTGTATGTCTTTAATCGAAATAACAGTGCTTAAAATAAACAAACAGATAAATTAAAAACAAAAATTACTTAATTGTATATTATTACATTTTATTACTTTTGGTCCGTTATATAAATTCGATAAAAAAAAAACCGCTTAAATTGTTTATCAATTATGCTAAGATCAGATTATACCTCAGTAGGTACCGATTTTATTGAGCACCTATGAATGCGATATGTTTACCAATTGTATTGAAAACTTATTTATTTTAGCTAACTAAATAAAATTATTAAAAATAGATAGAATTAATTCTACATTTTAATAAATCTATGAACGAACATGTTGTGTTTATGAAATTATTTCACTGAAAAAATCGTGCATGAGACCTTACCCGTACACCCCGATGTCTGATCCCTCCCCAGGTGTTTGGAGTTCGGTGCATTCAACTTTTTGTGTCGTATACGAACCTGTTCCGCAAACTCATTATAGACCTTACACACTGCACATTAATTTATCGTATTTGTTATATCTCTTGTCAATATCATAAACAAGTGATAATTTATTTCGGGCGGAAATTGAACTCTTGTTACTTGTCATTATTTTTAAATAACGTCTCTAAAAGTCTTTATGTCTTTAGACGAGTATTATAATATGTCAATGGAAAAATAAATAAAACAATTTAAATAGAATATAAATAATATAATTAGTATAAAATTTTAAATGCGATAATGGATTTGTTTATTTGTTACTCTTTAACATACAGTCTTAATAGCTCAACTAATATTTTTGCGATATAAAATAAAAATTTTTATGGGCAGAGTACAAACTAGATCACTTCACTTTCTTGCAAGTGATCATCGCAGCTGATAAACTCTCTTGTTGAAGGTCGATTTATTCAAATATATTTTATGTAACAATCTCTCGTTTACCAATCTGTATGTCGGAGTAAGTACCTGATACAATTTTTATGCTTTAATATTTCAATAAGTATCTATAATACATCATGAAACACGTAAAAATTGCATTGTATGATATCGTTAAGGTTAATACGAAATTTGAACTCTGGCGAATTCGGTATTCCAAAATTTATACATATCCATCAAAAGTTGGCATAAAAAAATGCAATAACAATCCTAAAATATAAACATCACATTGACAGGGGATTTATTTTAACACGCTTGAACCTAAGTGGTTGCGTATAGTGCGGTTTCAAAAGAGTTCCGAGATTTTCCCTAGAGACTACAATATGGAGCTCTTCAAAAAGGATATATTAATGTTTCTTCAGGGTAGACAACGCGCTTGGGATTCCACTAGTGTTGTAGGCGTCCATATGCTCGAATGACCATTTACCATCAGACGGGCTGTATACTTGTTTGCCGCCTTCGTGATATAAAAAAATATGTTAAAATGAAAATGTTTATTAAAAAGGAAAAAGAATAAAGTTTATTTATCAAGGAATTCATCTTGTTTGATAATTTGGCGAATAATTGTAATAAAATTTGCCCTGAATATGACACAGCCTGTTAAATTAATTTTTTGCATACACATTCATACATAAATATGAGTGAATTCCATTGAACGCCAGAGAAGTTTATAGATTCATTAATAAAATTGTACAATTAACACTCAACTGGTTATATTATAAACAAATTATATTAATAACATTTGTTGGTATGTCCAATGTAATTTGCTAATGGATTTAGGTACAATCAAAATATGTATACATATAAATATTATAACAAGTTTATGTAAGTATTAGGTAAAAAGGTATCCATACCTACTCGTATCTACATATTAATAATTAATAACTATTCTAATTTAGTAATTATAAAATAGTATCCGATGAGATAAGTAAGTTTTAACATTGCTAAGTATAATAAAATTATATATAATTATAAAGTACATTATCAATTACGTATTTGCGAATATTTAGTAGAACTGTTTCACATACAAGTACAATATAACTAACGCTTAAAAAAAATAAAAAGAATTGTCATCGTCCACATGATTCTCTCTTTCTTATTAATAAAATAAATAGGTACATTAAAAAAATAATCAACCTATTACCGAACTATTGAGAAAAGTTGGTTAAAATTATTATTAAGTACACGCGTGAAGGGACCTTAACAACAGACGAACTAAGTTGGGGTGAATATAAACCAATAGAAATGCAGCAGGGTCGCTCACTGAGCTTGTTGTGGCGATCAGCTGTTGTCGATTGTCGGAATGTATACCAAAAAAACGTCAACAAACCATCGCCGGGCGGTCGGGTGACTCTGCCTGCACTGCACCGTCTGGGGATGACATAACCCTTACAGGTAAAACTCAACAAATATATAATTCCACTATACATGGTTTTATTTATTTATTTAGTTTATTTGGGATAACAATAGCTTTTTACATAATTAATTGTATATTATACACTTACTAAATGCTATTTTTTTTACAACACAGGGGGCAAACGAGCATGCGGCTCACCTGATGGTAAGTGACTACCGCCGCCCATGGTCACCCACAACACCTACGGCATTGCAGGTGTGCTGCCGGCCTTTTAAAAAGCAATATGCTCATGCTATTATTAGTATCCACAGAGTAATACATAAGTATCCATTATACGAATAAAATTATAGTTTGTAATGCTATAGTAATAGTAATGATGCATTTACTATAATGTTTGTATAATGTTACCTGCACTTAATAGTAGTTAATTAGTTGTAGACAATTTTACAAGCTACCCTGAATCCAGTCACACAAGTCACACTTGTGCTATCTTCATACGGTTGGGCCACTAGATAGTGTTACGGTATGTATGGTATGTACATATGTATAAGTTTACAATAATTTTCTATGATCTTTGTTCTATAGTTTTACTCTTAATAATGTTTTAAAAAGGATGTTGATATTATGTTACATTGCGTCCTCAAACGTCCTGAATAACAACTCAGTGTGACGAGAATTTTAAAGACTGATCAACCGTGACGTGTTAATAGGGTCCGTAGCTGTTTTAATGTCTCTATTTATTGATTAACTAGCTTTTTAATCCGTTTATTCATATTCGGGGATAAAATAACCTATTTAAATAGACCACTTCGAAATGTTTTATCGAGATAAAATGTAAACCAGATTTTAAGTTACCAAATCCAATTTGGTGCAGTAATTTTTACGTGATGTCTGAACATACACACAGACAGACAGACAAACAAAATTTTTATTAAGACTCCTTATGTGCATTTATCTTTAATGTCTTCCATGTATAGGCATCATCTAGTTATTTTTTTATATTAGTAAGATTAGAATTATTGTTAAATTTACTAAAAAGTGAACAAAACAATTTTCTGTACAAGTATCAATTGATTTTTCAGATACAGAAGTATAAAAGCCAAATTTTTCGTAACTTCGGTATTATCTGTGTCGCGAAAATGTCATGTATCACGCATTTACCTTCAAAAGTTAATTATAAAACTGTCATTATCAACATTAAAGTGGAGTATCCAGTCATTGTAGAAGGTATAAAAAATGTTGAGAAAGCAATCCACACATTTCTTAATATGGCAACTTTATTAGTCTATGTTTGATGTATGTAGAGTGATGTTCTCTGGTTGCTGTCTGGTAATTGTAAGAAAAGAAATATGTCGCCTCTAATAAATTGTATAACTTAAATATATTAATAAATATATAAATATGAATAATGTGTCTAAATATTACAATAAATACTCTGCTAAATTACTTCAAAATAGAAAAAAGTAAAATATATATATGTTTATTTTATTTGTTTGGAGCACATAACAGAAGTTTACAAATACAAATTTAAAATATAATTTGTAAGTACATTATGCACTGTTGAGCTAAACTTATTATGATTATTATAATTTTGTATTATTTTTTAAGGGTTGCAATAAAAAGTAAATAAATAAATAATACTACTATTAAAAATAGGATACAATATGTAGGTGTAACGTTATAAAGGTGTAAAGATACAATAATTATTATTAAAGGATTTTATTATTATTACATTAATTTTACTAATAATCAATGCATCTTTTCTTTTTTTTCTGAAATTACATAATGTAATTAGAAAGTATCGTTTAAATCGATTAGGCTACCGAACCCTAAAAATTCAGAGGTTTCGGCTGGAATTCAATCTTGGGATTTATGAAACCAATCAACTGTTTCATCGCCAGAGTTGTTTTGTGGTGAAAATGTCTTATGTATGAATTTTTGTGGTCGACCGGAAACTTGTGTATATATACTGTAAATTAGCTTAATTTTCTTCTAAATTTTAGCCACCCGTGTGGGAAGACACATATAGAAATAATGTTTTGAGATGTGGCTACTCAAAATGAAGCCTTATTATTAAGCACACAGTGTGGTGATTATTGGATAATATCCTCATTTTCGTGCTTAGTATAATTATTGAAAAATATGGTATAGCTTTGCATTATCGGTCTAACTACAAAAAATATTTAAAACCCGGTTTAACTAAACAATACTTTTTGTATACGAATATTTTTAACAAAGGTCTATGTTAGACAGTACAACAATGTTCATTTGCAATTTTATGTGTTTTATATATATATATATATGGATAATTATAATAAAATTTATTACATAAATCACCTTTTATTTTTAATAACACAGACTTTTCTTCATTTAGACATAAATATATGTTAGACACGCTTTTGTAGAAAGACGTTTATTGAAAGTCTGTCTATTTCAATTTTAACTTTTTGTGGTATGTTAGTAAGCATTCTATTCAGAAATAGGAATCCTAGTTTATAAAAGTTTGGTAGGATATATATTTACTTAAATCTAAATGTGTTACTAAGCGCAAAACTCAAGAACGATGGGATCAATCCGGCTAATTTTTATTCAAATATTCCTTAAAATCCGAGGCTTAGAAGTTCTTATTGAGAGAAAAATTAGAAAACTGTCCGGACAAATGGAAAAAATCCATTTTTATATTTCCCATATAAAATGTTCTGTTAATAGCTTTTGACAGAACGACATTTGTTGTGTGAGTTAGTAGGAAATAAAAGTGTAGCGGAAATAAAATCATCCGAAACTATAGAGGGGTTAAAAGGCGGCTTCACTTAAAGGCTTTACGTCCTCATTATATTTCAACGCTTTAGACGAAACGTTATACGATTCGTTTCGTAAAATACACCGAGTTTAATGATATTAATAGACTAGTATATCGTTTAATCAACGGGTTATATGAAATGAATCCTATTATGATTCGTACAAAGTGGATTTTTAACCCCCAGGTTCGTACACTATTAAACACGAATATTTACCGTGATATCTTTGTGAGCTCCCGATATTTTGACGCTGCTACCAATTACAAGCGTCCTGTCACGGTCACGGGTCGACATAATTGGGTAATCACGGTACCTAAATATCTCGTTTATAAAATGTATAAAATTGTAAACAACCGTGACGTAAGTTTAAAGAGTGTTTACAAGTACATTACTTCTTCGAATAACTTTAAAGCTTTTATCAAAATAATGCTAAATTACATATTCAAAAATCTAATAGGTTACGTATAGGCTTATTTAAAATGGGATTGGGTGGGCTGTATCCACACAATTATCTTATGTTCGCGCCTTTCAACTATGAGCAAAGAGATGTATTAAAGTAGCCTTTTTAAGGAGTCAGGCCCTTCTTGGAACATAAATACGCTAATTTGCTTACGTACGAGTATAGTCCGTCTCAATAGGAATGAATGAAAATGTACACAAAAGTTCTAGTTGATTCGACCATAAGATAGTTTGCTGATGTCCTATAATAATGTAAATAGAAAATGGATTAATATATTACGTGTTTCAATTTGTTATAATTTCATCTAGAGAGTGTTTCTGTAATAAATGGAATAAAAAGTGACTGAAGTTAATTTATTTATTTTATTAATATAGACAGACGAAATCGAGGACAAATTCTCAGCTCAGCTATAATTTTAGACGACGGTACTGTAGTCACAAACATTAATGTACTTTACTTTTCAAAACAGGAAACAATAATAGCGAAACAACAAAAACAAAAATGATGTCATAGTGAGTAATTTATACGCTACGATCTTTGTAGGGACTGTGCTACGTCTACGTATGATTTAGTATATTAGATGAGATTCATTATAAATATTTCATATAATATTAGATACTAGTTTCTATTCGCGACTTTATCCGTGTAACAAGTATATTGATTGAAGAGAATAAAAAGTAGCCTGGGTACTTCTCTGTCTATTCTAATTTTGTGATGCTATATACGTGTACCGAATTTCATGACCATAGATTGAGCCTCTGAAGAATCAAGAGGTAAAAAACAAAGAAACTCTTTCATACATTTACAATATTACTAATATTATACATAATATTTTTATATATGTAATAAATACCAGCATCTACATAATAAATATGTTAATAATAAGTAGATTAAGGTTGTCTTTTGCAATATTTGATAGCAATACATGAGAAGAGTTATGGGCGGAAGAAATATATTCCATATAGCCTTTACGGTGTTGCTTTTGTAGTAAAGTGACCTCATAGCATGATTGCAGTTTCCATATAAAAGGACATGTCAAGGAAAATCGGCTTTGGTAAATGCACGGAGGAGGATGTATTAGCAATTTCGTAAAATCTGTTCTAAATAGGTTCGAACCTAAAACCTTATTTGCTGAAAGCAATCTTGTATGCCATAGACCATAGAGCTACGGCTATTTGTAAAATAATATCGCGTATATATAATTATATACAGATTGAGAAATACAATAAAAGTTGTTTAACAGCATATATTATGTTTCTTATAACAGAAACTGAAAAATCGATGATCTACAGAAATAACACCAAGGCATACTGGTTATAATTAAACATGAATGCCAGTGATATCGCTTTGAACTTACTGTTTACGTTTCAGTTGAATGATTACGTACAAGTGCTGGGCTGGTAATTTCATACTGTTTGAATGTATTTCCTGAACTTTTTTGTGAAAATATTTTTAACAAAATGAGTTACGTTCGTTTAATTGCTTTAATTTAAAAGATTTTTTGGTTTTCTTTTTATTTTAATAAAATTTGGAGTACATAGAATTATACTCTCGTGTTAAATTTTAATCACGACTGATATGACTGATTATTAGATTTAATTATCGACACAGTATATTGTGTTATGTCCATGGCAATATGCGTGTTTATAGACAACGAATACATCAGGTGGGACGTTAGCTTGTTTGACGTTCTAATTTATATGTAATATATAATATTTTGTATGTATTTGTAATGAAGTGTAATAATAGGTACTTTTACTATTCTTATAGTTTTATGGGATTCGCCTAGATAAGTTTGGTACCATATACAAAGCATGCGTTGTGTTTCGGTCTGAATAATACGTTAGATAGTGAAATCTCTGACACAAGAGCCGTAATACTGTAGTTCTCAAGAGCGGCAACGCATGAAGAGTTGAACAGGTGCCGCAGTGTATTATGTCCATAATGTAGTGATTTATATATAATATAGATAGATAACGTTGGTAGTGAAGTAATGTAACACACTGCTTCACCTTCTGATGGTTGCGGATTTGATCTCTGTACAATACAAACATTTGTTCGAAAATATCTGTTTGTATTTAAAAAGAAGTTCTTCATTCAGTTATTTATTACCCCAAATACAAGCTGTGATTAGTTTGGGATTAGATGATGCTGTGTAATATATTTACTACTAATATTTATTATTGATATAGTCACAGATAATACAATATTATATTGGGGGGAAAGGGATTGTTAGTAATGGAGACTGAGAATCCCATTGCTAGCAATATACCCAACCAGGTCAACCTCCTTGCGGTTCTCCCTGGAAACTATCATGGTTAATTCCTGATGAATTCATCATGATGGGCTAACTGGCCTGTTTTCATTCTCGTCTATCATCCTTCACTGGTGCTCCGCCAGCGTATCCCGTTAGCGCAGGCGGGGTAAACATACCATTTTCACCCATAAAACAAAAAAATACAATATTATAGTTACTATTTTTTTATCAGGTATACTGTAAGATGAGTTTATTTGAAATTTTCATTATTATGTAGATAAAAATAAAAATAAGTTACGTAGATATATGATAAAAAATACAAAAATCAAATAAAGTGTGAGTTATTATATATGCCAGACGTCTACGTTAGTTTATTGACAAATAACAATATTTTTTTGCGGCTATACATTCGAAATAGGTGAAACGAATCTTGACTAAGCAATTTAGCGAATAACAAAGAAGTACCGTTTGGCCCACGTAGGTACGGACCCCAAAAAACACTTGATTGGCAATTTTCCACAGCTCAACGGCAACGGCAGTGTGGAAACAAAGAACCTTGATACAAATAGCGGTATGAGAAGTTTCGTATCTATCAAAACCGCACAAGATAAGAGGCGAGCAGACAAACCGCGATTACTATTGATAACAGTAAAGTAGGTACTGACAGGAGCATAATCGTTTACAACATCACAAAGCAATAAGAATGTATACTTTGAATAAATAGTATACGTTCATAGATAAATATATATTTTAAATAGATTCTGTATATATTATGCATGGGGTACCAATTAGTAGTTAATAGCTGGATCATGTTATTTATTTAATGATAAATGAATAATACTTTTTACGGTGTTAATATGTTTTATATTGCTGTACTCGTATTATGTCATCATAATAACCTGTATTTCTTGCAAATAAAGAATTTGATTGATTGGTTAATGGTTCGTGTGTAATAGGTACTCAGTATTATTATTTTTATACTTTCGTATAATTGTGTTATAGCATGAGAGTATGGACTACTAAGATTATTAAAATTTATCGTTATGGTAAGGCCTTGTTTATTTCAAAAAGGTGTATTAAATTCGATGGTATGTTTTATTTATTACTGATAAAACAGGAGCTGTAGAATTATTAATATGAAAAAGTGATCGTGTACTGAATCGTGACATATATACATATATAGGCATATATACATAGGTTTTGTATAAACATTTTAGTAAGTGAAAATCTTAGAATTAAATTAATAAATCTATATCAAAACAGTTAAATATATAACTGCTAGGGATTGTTCTTGCAAAAAGGTGGCCGTATGTTTTGGATGATTCATAAAAAAAACAGATAGTATTTTTTCAATGTAAAATGTAAAATATTTTATAAAAAAATCTGTAGTTCATATTAAATACCATAGATTCTTTTAAGAAACAATATTTGAGTATTAAAAATATTATTAAAGAAGTCCCGTGTAATTTTAAAAATAAACAATGTAGTACCTATATAATTTATTATTTTGTATTTGATATATATTAAAAAACAAAAAAAAGAATTGGAGGCGCAGGGTATCGATCCCCGTACTTCTCGCATGCTAAGCGAGCGCTCTACCATCTGAGCTACGCCCCCTTGTTCAGTAGCGTGTGAAATTACTGAAGACTTTAATAACTTACGTTGTTTTATTGACGTAAATTACGACACGCAATGAATAATTTATAAAAGCACTTTCACAAACATAACCAATGTTTTTATTTAATTATCGTCACGATTATCTACAACTGCAATAAGTAGAGGAGAACCTATTTCCGTTTGTAATATCTATAGCAAAAATCGACATACGTAATACATACTAAATAAACGTTTGTACAACTGTCGATAAAAATAATATTAGAAATAGTATTTTCGAAAGGATTTGGTGTAATAGTTTCTTAAGCTTTTGCGATATAACGTGCAATGTAGTAAAGGCTCCTTGTTGATTACGGCGGTGAACAGAACATGCTTAATATCGTTTGTGAGTCACAATGACTGAATTTAAGTTTCGTTTCAATAGCTGCTGATTAGGCCTATTGTTACGAATTCACCAGAAATTACTCACGATAGTTTCCGGGAAGGTCTACGTGGAGGTCGACCTGATAAGGTACACTGCTATCAATGGGATCACTAGTTTCTATTACTAACAATTTCCGCCCCAATGAGAGAAATACTGTATCTATATGTGCAGTAATTAAGATATTATAGTCCAATTATGAATCCGGACTGGTTTTAAATAGATAAACAGAATTTTCTAAAATAATATATAGCTTATACTTATCGTTGATAATGTACCTTTCTACAGGTAAAAGAATTTTTAAAATCGGATAAGTAGTTTTTGGGTTTATTAATTACAATCAAATAATCAAATCTTTGCTCTATAATATTAGTATAGATATTCACGATAATATATAAATATAATTTATACGAAATCCCGAACGTAAATCCCCGCTGACATCTGTTCATTAAAGAAGTAATTATTATACGTTTAACAAAGAATTCGTTTTAAAATATAACTACTTTTCTTGTAAATATTTAGGCGTTTTGCCAAATTAGAACATTCTTTATTTTTCAATTCCTTTATTTCAGGAATCGTCGACTTCAAAGGGTAAATGATGCCAGGAAATATAACTATTTATGTATTTTCTATATGTGTTCATTGTTATTCTGCTAATATGGTAATAAAATATACTTGGTAATATTTATTTTTTTTTTTATTTAACCTTTTGATCACACTATCTTTTTATATAACCATAAACAGTCAAATACATATAATGCAATCCGGCTACGCTTATCATCCGTTTATCATTATATGGCAAGTAATTATACAAAAAAAAAAAAACAAATAGAATCAACCGTAAATATATTAAAATTTATTTACATTACATAAGAATGCACTTTTAGTATTATTTCAGTACATTACATAATATTATAAAAACTATTGAAATTACATTGTAAATGCGTAAAGATCGCATATTACATATTTGTAAACCCTGTTTTATATAAATTTATAATCATTTAAAAATTTGTAAATCTTTTTATATAAAAATATATTATATATAAACAGCATTGCATAGTTGGAGTCACTTATGGAGAAACCATTCAACTTTATAGACATTCTATAGGACTGACTTTCCTGTTGATCCCATATAGAATTAGTCAAGGAATTTTTTTTTAATAATGTATCTATTAAATTAAATACATGATTTTTTTAACAAATCTTTGTCTTATTACCATTTGAAAGAAGTGAAAATAATAATCCTCTTATTTAGATAGATAGATAGATACGCTTTATTGTTTCCTCAAAAAGATTACAATAGTAAACTTATTATAAATATAAACAATTACAAGAAATAATCACAATTTAGGTGTGATAATATTCGAAGTTTTACTTATGAACTATATATTCGACGGTTTTTGTACCATGATAATAAAGATTATATTATTGACTAGCATTTGAGGGTAGTTTTCCAATGTTAAAAATATTTTAAGGGAAAGTATAACCAAGTGGTATATGCCACATTTCTCCTATATACTATTTATAGTTTATAGGTACTGAATGAAATCGAAATAATAAGGATTCTTTTAAGGAATAGTTATTTTTAAAGTAAACCCTGGATCAGTAGTTAACGGACTTTGTAATAATGAGGGACCATTTGACAAAATTTATTCAAATTGTGGCGTAACTTTTGTGTCGACTTGTTGTTATTATTTTAATCTATTACAAAAGGTTTTGTGGACCACTTCGGGTAGGTACCCGATATCCCCCTGAAGGTTCCAAGGGGCCATCAATATTCAAATTTTTGTCGTTTTCATATCTATGTTTCTTTGGCAAAACTTCTATAAAAAGATGTTTGTTTCTTTGGTAAAACTTCTATAAAAGGATGCTTGTTTCTTTGATAGAACTTCTGTAAAAGAATACTAAAAATATCATTTAATCTAAATGCATGATTGAACAACAGAGAACATATCTTCACAAATATTCTTTATAAAGCTCGGAAATAAATTCGTTGGTCCAACCTAATTACAACCATAATAAAACCTAACTCTGTCTTTTATAATATTAACTCTGTATTAAAATTCGTTTTATACATTGATCCAACCATGAGTGTTATTTAAAATCTCATTGGCGTATAGTAAGTTCGCTAAACAACTTTTGAGGCAAATTCTATGTTTAGTGGAGATTTATGTTGTTATGAATAAAGTCACGTATTCAAGGCAAACTTTTGTTGAGTAGCTGATATTCAAAATCAATGTTGTTGATGTTTAAATCCGTTTTCTCTGTTTTCACAAACATTATGTGATAAAATGCTGTTTGAGGAAGAATTGTTGTAAATTAACTTGCGTAATATTGCTTTGAACTGCAACATATTGTGATGCTCTCATCAAGTTTATAATAATTAACAAATATATATATATATATATATATATATATATATATATATATATATATATATATATATATATATATATATATATATATATATATATATATCATAAATACGCGGCTTGATATAATTAGTACGTCTATAAACATTTTTATATTTAACTGGCGTCCTCAAGCAGTACTATTTGAGCTCCCTTCCCGACCGCGTCACCTTGTTTCACGGCCGCCACGTTCGCTACGACGCCGTCTCTTGGCGAGCGGACCACGTACTCCATTTTCATTGCTATTACTACAAATAAGGGCTGGCCTTTTACCACCTACAAAATAAAAATTGTATATTTTTTGAAAAAAATTTTTTGTAAAAAAAAAAGGGTTTTACAATTCTTTAGTGTCACTTTTGGTGTTATTTTGTAGAAATCTGGACGTCTAATATTAGGATTTCAAAGTTTAATTAATTTACAATCTAGAGGCACATATTTATAAAAAAAAAGCGGTTCCTCTTCATCTTTTCGAAATTTCAGGATTGACATTTGATGTTGATAACTCATGTTAATCTACTAAAGATATCGTTAATAAATAATATCTACAGGTAGTTTATGGTTCATAAGATACTTTGTCTTTGTGTCAAATTACCTTATCTCCTTTAGCAACTAAAATCCTTTCCATCACACCAGGAGTAGGCGAGCAGGCGCTATTCTGTGAGATGGCGACATCCTCCTCGCTTCCCGCCTGATACTTGGGCCGCGGTATATAGTGAACAGTTTGACCATTCTGTATATATATATATATATATATATATATATATATATATATATATATATATATATATATATATATATATATATATATAAATAGATAATATATATTTGTTGTATTTATTATGTATGTATATGTATGTATTTATTATTATTTTCTTAAAATTTACAAAATTTATATAAAATAAGTAAGTTCTTTTGAAACAGCTACCAACGACTTGTCTTAACCTATTGGTGTGCTTTGCCAGTTCGGATAAATTAGAATTTGACTTAAAGAAATAATATACAAAATACACCAAAAGCTAAAATAAGTTTAGACTTTTTTATGAAAGAAAAAATACCTCATCATAGACATGCACTTGGTCCTCATAAGTCAGTAGACCAACATTACTGGTCCTATCCCCTATACGTGTGATGAGCCGAAGTCCGAGTTCCGTGTCTCGTAAAGTCGCCTCAATTTGCTGCCATTCGCCATCGTTCACTTGTACGCGGTATGAATTTGGCGCGGTTTCGTATTCTATTGTCACTTTTAAGTCTGAAATAGACCAGGATTAAGCTTATTACATTACATTACATGATCATGTGCATACATATATATCGAAATGTGGGGGTAGTTATTTATAGGTGACATAAAAAGATTATAAAACTTGTAACTTTATTGGTAAAATAGAATAAATAAATTTATTCTATATTATCAATAAAGTTACAAGTTTTGAATTCAAGCTATTTTTTAATGCAATTTAAAATGGCAAATAAGCTGAAAGCCAATTTAATGGAAAGTGGTAATAGTCGTCTATAGACATGAACAGTATTATGGGTATAGCAGAGTATACTGTTTCACCAATAATACCCCCATGCGTTGCCATTCCTCAGGAATAATATAAAACATTCATTTAAAAGTGAAATACCATAATATTAATTATCCAATCAAATTTAAATTATGTGCATATTTAAAAGGATAAATTAGTTTATGGAATTCATTTACTATCTACCTTTGTCTTCAAATTTCAACGGTATAGTTTTTCTTAGTTGATAATTGGGTCTCCATGATGCAGATTCTACTGAGATTCCTTTCCAATTTGGTGTTATTGAGTTATTTCTTTGAGAATTAAGTAACTGAAAAATGATAAATATATTATATTAAATAATAAAATTACATTATTGGATTTGGCAAGTGCACCATTTTATATTAATTTTTTTATGCAACTTCAATGGCAAATAAGCTGATACATTAATAACTTACAGTAACATGCTTTGTCTTATTTTTACACCAATATTTGTTTCAAAACTAATTCGTTTTAATACTATTATTTCTATACATAGTATAAAACAAAATAGTTTATCTATTTCTCCCCTTCTTTTGAATCACACAACATATTTTGATATATGTTTTATAGTCTATTTGATATTTTTAAAGGATAAATTGTATGTTTAAATTAAATATTGAGCACGCAATGAGAACTAACTGCGAATAATTAAAATCTATTAATACTTATTTTAGAAGTTAAAGTTTTAAGATGTTATTATATTTAAGCGGCCGATTGGGTTTGAATATTTGGTACAAGGGTAGGTTATAACCTAACTTATAGTATAATTTATATATGCGGGCAAAGCCACGGGAAATAGCTATTACCTATTCGCTAATACAGTGATATGTATAAACTTACAAATCCAAGTGCGGCGTGAATACTGCGTTGGTTTGCTAGACGTTGGTCAGAGGCTGGGAACAGCTCGGCCTCGTGTTGTGGAATGAACGCTGTGTGTACGTCGCCCGATACGAATGCCGTCGCGCCGCTAAGTCGCAGCAAGAAGTTTACGTTTGTTTCAAGCCCCGCCACCTGTATATGTAATACTGTATTATATGCATTATTCTAGAATTTTCAAATTTCTAGTATTAAAGCAATCTGTTCCTTTGTAAAGATATAACATCAAAATTAACTTACACTAATGACTATTTAACAAAATATATCGGAAGAATATTTTTTTCTTTGATATTTTATTTTCATACCTTTTCTCCAGGCATTTTTATTCTATTAATCTATAAATATTTTAACTAAGTTTTTGTATTTGTTTTGTTTCAAACCACTATTTCAATAAAGTTGTATTTTTAGTAATCTATAGTAGGTTTATTCATTAAATGACGATACAAACCTATAACAACATAATGGATTTATTTATTTGCTATAACATAACGTGCAATAATATATACCTGATATTCGGAAAGCTTTGCTCTGGTCTTCGCCAAGGCCTCGTTGCGATCGCGACCCCACACTACCAACTTGGCTATCATCGGATCGTAATGTACGGACACCTCTTGTCCTTCGCGTACGCCTGTTTCTATCTAAAATATAGTATGTATTTTATTTATTTAATCTTATAACAATTATTATTTCCTCAAAATGATACTTTTTTTTTATTAGGTAAATACAAAATGAATGTCAAATGTCCTTTCTAGCTATTCATCGTAATTCAGCTATAGAAACAATAACACACATTCTGCAAGCTAGTAGAGCTTCAAAAGAGTTATAATAAGAAGCGACTGACCCTCACGTTGTCTTCTGGTGCAGGCTGCCTGAGACGGTGCAGGGTGCCAGCTCGGGGTAAAAATCCAGCAGATGGCTCTTCAGCATAGATCCTGCACTCCACAGCGTGGCCGCGCCGCACCACCTCTTCTTGCGTCAATGGTAACGGTTCGCCACCAGCCACGCGGAGCTGCCACTCCACTAGGTCGGTTCCTTACATGTCATAAATATAACTAGATTTTTTCTATATTTAGATTATACAAGCAAATAAGATACTTAATGCCATTAGATTTGTTTTTCTGATATGTCGGGTTTCTCATAACACAGCAAGTAGGCTTGGAAGAGTTAGTTCATAAATTAAAAGTTGTAATGGTAAGATCATGATAAAATCTTGGTTAAAAAAACAAATACAATATCAAAGTATAAGATACAAATGAAGAATGGGAATACATAGACTGAAAAGTGAGGACCACCAGCTTACATGGCAACTTCTATAGTTTAAAAAATCTTACCAGTGATCATCTCTGTAATGGGATGTTCAACTTGCAACCGAGTGTTCATTTCCATAAAGTGGAATTCGTGTGTAACTCTGTGTAGTATGAACTCCACAGTGCCAGCGCCGACGTAGCCTACGGCGCGAGCAGCTCTGACTGCAGCCTCGCCTATCGCCTTACGGGTATTTTCTGACAGACCTGGCTAAAAATATATTGGATTTCTGTTAAATAGTTCTGACAAATGTAAATGAATCTAACATTCTAACATTCGCATAATACATCAGATAGAATGAGATGGCGACATGGACTTGTTCTATTTCATGGGGCCGCTAACCAAAACGATGCTTTGATAGACTGGTTTGCAATTTTTTGGGAGGTTTGGCTGATACAGAAGTACAATTCTGCAATATTTAGCTATCATTATAATTTGACACTTAGCATTCATACATAATAACCACTTGCCAATTTAGAAATATTGCCTCAAATTACCTTTAATTTCTAAATTACAAAAGCCACAAGTCTCAATTTTATCACGATGCACCATAAGTTTAGATTACTATAAAATCTTTATATCTTAATTTGCATGGAAGAAATAGGGATCTATAGTTGGTTATAATAAAATACTAACAGCAGGTGCTTCTTCTATGATTTTTTGATGCCGTCTTTGTACAGAGCAGTCTCTTTCAAATAGATGCACTACATTTCCATGCATGTCAGCAAATACCTGAAATAAGTGTAAAAAGATGTCTATATAAATACGGGAGATTAATAAACTCAGTTTTTATAGCGGGTTGTGCGAGCTGTGGCCCGCAGTGCGAGATGAGACGCTGTGACGCAAAGCGCTAAATGGCCCCTAAAGATTCGGGATAAAGTCAAAAACAGAGTGAGTTCATTAACCTTCCATATTTATATAGTCATTGAATAAAAGTGAAAGCTTTAACAATAATCGTAATAAAGGTGTACTAATTGAAAACTATGTAGAATTAATTACCATCTATTTAACTACTATATACTTTCTCTCTCTTTTTAATGCAACATATTGCCTTTTCAATTATTTCACTACTTACTGTTCGACAAAATATTCATTTGATCAAAACTATTTATACCATGATAAGTGAAAATAATTAATTACCTGCACTTCTACATGCCGTGGATCTGTAATGTATTGTTCTAAAAGCATATTGTCGTCTCCAAACGATTTCAATGATTCTCTTTTAGCTGACTCTAACTGTGGTAGGAATTCTTCCTCTGTCATTGCTATTCTCATACCCTGAAATAAAAAAATAAAAAAAAATTAAATAGAACTCAAATATTCGAAATCATAAGCACAGTACTGGTATTCTAGAATACAGCCAGCTTTTATTTTAAAAAGAATAAAAAAAAAAGTTGTTATTGCAGTGCATTAAAAACTTGAAATAAAAAAAGAGACTAATATTCTTAATTAATTATTATTTTTTTGGAGTCTTTGCTTCTGTTTAGATTCTACTCTTCACTTACTGCAATAAAAAATAATTATTCGAGGAATATATTCATGAGAAATTTAATAAAATAAATATTATACACACTTTGCCACCACCGCCTCGCACAGCTTTAATCATAAGTGGAAATCCAACTTTCTGAGCTTCAGCTTGAAGCCTCTCGATACTTTGATCTTCACCATGATAACCTCTTACTATTGGCACTCCAGCACTCGACATTATGGCTTTTGATGTGCTGGGAATGAAATTATGACATACAATTATAATTTTGAACCAAAATATACTAGATGCAATATTTTCTTTTAAGAAATTCAAGATAGTGCTATGTTGAAGTGTTTAAATGTTAGTCAAAATATAATAATATTGTGATACAGGTCTTCAATTGTAGACAAACAGATTTAATGTAGAAACAAGAAATTTGTACAACCTAAAGGAAAGTACATAATTAAAAAATGTGTGTGCAGAGTCCTAGTGATTTATTATCCCAACTGACATCATTTGAGTTAGGTTGTAAGATACCTTATTTTTTCTGAGTGGATGTGAGTTGTCTGTTTTCAATGACTCTATATATAAAAGGGCCAAAATCTAAAAATGAAAAATAGTGTTTTGTTTGTATTAATTACAATACATCACAACGACAATAATTACAACCATTGTAACAATTTATCCATTGGGGGGGGGGGGGGGGGGAAGGAATTGTTTAGTAATGAGATGTAACAGTGCCATTTCTAGCAATATACTGCATCGGGTTGATCTCTATACTAAAATTATCTGTTTCATATGTTTTTGTTATAAATATATTTATGCATGCAATATACTTAATATAATCTTTTATGACTAACCTTTTTATACCCATATCTCTAATGGCTGAAGGTGGAGGTCCAATGAATATGACTCCCTCCTTGGTGCACTTTTCACAGAATTCTACATTTTCTGATAAGAAGCCATAACCAGGATGGATGGCATGACTGTTGGATTTCTTTGCTATATCTAATATTTTAGCTGCATTTAGGTAGCTCTGTGCTGATGGGGCAGGACCTATGTGATATGCTTCATCAGCCTACAGTCCAGTATAAAAAAAGTATATATATATATTGATAAATTTATACTTTCATATAATTTTTTATTCTAATATTTTGGATTCAAAACATTGGTCTTATGATAACAATAATGGTTATAATTGAAATAGTTTTTATAACTTAAAAAATAGATATTGCAAAATTACTGGTAATTGTGATTCAAAACCTATAAATCACAAAGATTCGCCACATATTTATAGTTACATTTCTGGTGTTGTAAGCAATAGCAGGCTGCTGTAACTATTAATCATCAAACAGACCATATATTTACCAAACTCCTATAATAAAATGTAATCAAGAAGTACCTTTTAAAATATTTAGAATTCTTTTATCATCAAACTTGACCAGACAACAAGAGTATCACTAATAAAAAAGTAATTAATGTGAGGCATGACTACATACCATTTCAACATGCATTGCATGTTTATCAGCATCAGAATATACTGCAACAGTCCGAATACCCAACTTTTTAGCTGTACGCATTACTCTGCATGCTATCTCACCTCGGTTGGCAATGAGGACTTTACTAATTTGTAGCCTTTTAATGCTTTCTTTGACTTGAACATGATTAAATCTTGCCAATGACTTAAGGTTTAAAGAAGGCCTAAAATATAATTTTAGATACAAGAATGTGTTTTGTTTATGTCTTAATTTTAGAATAGAACATAATTATATTTAGAAAATGAATCAGTAGTACTGTACCTTTAGATCTATACTATTAACATGAGACATGAGTAAGCAATAAATGATAAAATTTAAATAATAATTTAAAAATTAAGATACTAAATTTCTGTTTACTAAATAATTAGAACTTTTAAATGATAATATTTATAGTAACAGACATAAATATCTATAAGTACCTTAATTTATATGAATACTAAACAAGTCATTACTAAACTACTTGTCTTGATTTCACAAAAACTATTTATTGAAAGTAAAATATCTCACTAAATACATGTAACTGCGGCATTTATATCAATCCATATCAGATATGGTTATTGTAAATTATTGGAAATACAATAATCAAAATAGCATATTTCTTAAATGCAATAATATTTGAAATTCTTACCGTATTTTATTTATATGTCTAAAATACCACATTGCGGTTGTTTTAAGTAACGCAATTTTTGTATTATCTTACGTTAGTTGTAGATTATTCGTATGATGCGACCTCTCAGTCACAATATTGTACTGATAATATAGGTGATAACAAATGTAAAGTAAATAATGTACATGATTAGTGGATTGAATGACGTTCATTATTTTCTCATTAGCATAGCATGTTACATTTAAAAACTGTTTCAAGTATAGGTCATCTTTGTATTTCATTTTTGCTTATAATGTACGTATAGAATTTGTAATTTAAGCTGTAAATATATGTTTGTTTTATATGTAATTATGCTAATTGTGCATTTATTTATTTAGAAAAGCAACAATTATTTAAAAAAAAAATTGATATAATAATATTTAAAATATTCTAAAGAAAAAAATAACAAAATATTACATAGTGAACAAACAATCGCTACAGATCAGAGAAAGTATGTCTAAAGACGGTCACTAAGACAAAGGAATTACATAGAAGGACTGATAAAATAAAAATTGCAAATCATATGGTTGCCTCCTTTCTTCTTAAGTAAATATAATTAGTAAAAAGAGGACAAAAGACACACTATCAGTAGTATTTTTTTCAATTCATAGCAGGTCAGTGTACAGAAAACGTTATACGGCCATATAACCCTACCGAATTCAGATACAAGCTGCTTGCATACTTTTTACATAAACTGTGTAGAATATATAATCTAGTAACGTAAAATTTGTATTGATAAATAATTGACATATCAAGTATTTTCTATACACTAGTCTGCTATGAATTGAGAAAAATAGCAACTTATGGTGTATCTTTTATCCTCTTTTTACTAATTATATTTGCATAAGAAGAAAGGACCCAACCATATGATTTACAGTTTTTATTTTATTATTCCTTTTATGTAATTTCTTGTTCTTAGGTTTCAGACTATTTCGAAATTTTTGATTTTAGGGGCAGTTCATAGCTGACAGTTGAAGTTGTCAACGTCAAAAATCATAACTGCTGATTACTTGTGGTATATACCTACTTGTCTATTTAAATTCAAATTGATTTGATATTTTCAAATTTTGTTTCAAATCAATTCCAGTAATTTATTAGACTATTTTTAAATCTAATATAAATTGAAATTTAAAATAAACAAATTAAAACAGAACATGGGTGTAAACTTTGTGTGAATTATCATTATATTATAATAACGAAGCTATTATACTATACCATTTTCTATAAAAATGGGCATTAAAGGATTATGGGCTGTACTATTACCGTACAGTGAAAAGAAGGCCCTGCATGAAGTAAGTTTTAAATTATTCGATATAAATTTTAGTTACAATTAAGTAATCCGATGCAGATCTATTTTTCAATCTTCACTATTAATAGAAGTTGTAATAATTTTTTTATGTTTCATTAAGCAATGTCTGGGTGTTAAATAGACAGTTTCTTCTTGAATTTATGTATTGGTTGAATTAAAATATAAATATTTTTTGGAAAATCAAACTAAGTTGAAATGTATCAGTCTCCTTATTAAACCTTCCTGTCAGTTTTGCACTCATGATGTGCTATATATGTGGACTGCATAACATGTACTTTCAGAAGTTTACAAAATGCCAAAAATCTTTTTGACCAAACTACTATAGACTTCTTATAATCCACAAACATTCTGTCAATTATCTTCCCAATCAATTATGACACTAAACCAATCAAATATATTATTTGTTTAAGTATATATTGTTCTTATAAGATGGTATATTTTTTTTTTGTACATTTTTTTAAGTAAAGTTTCCAAGAATTTATTTACCCTTAATTTTTTTTTACAGATTCGAGGTGAAACTGTTGCTATAGATTTATCTGGATGGGTGTGTGATAGCCAAAATGTTACTGATTATCATATTCAGCCAAAATTATATTTAAGGTTTGTATGATTATAGATATTATGAATGTGAAAGTGATTTTTTTTGTATGTTTGCTTGTTACCTATTGACTAAAACTGGGATTGTTTTCTACTTGTGTAGCCACTCATAGAATTCTATATTTTCGGAGGTTGAATTTTTTACTTTATCAAACTTGATAAAAAACTTAAAACATTTTTGTGTCAATACATTTTTTAATTTCCTTTTCATAATACTTATATTTTTCTTATTTATATATTTTGTTGTTCTAGGAATTTGTTCTTCCGAACCATCTATCTCTTACTCGCAGATATCAATCCCATTTTTGTATTGGAAGGTGATGCACCAGAGCTCAAAAGAGATGTAATGGCTGCTCGTAATGCTGTACAGTTTCGTGGTGCTGCTCCAAGGAATGATAATGCTCTTAATAAACGTCCTGATGTTGCAAGAAAAAAATTTAAATCTATTCTTAAAGAGGTAACATATTTCCTATAATTGCATCATTACACAAAATTTTAATATTTTTTATTACTTATCTATATTTTATATTATTGTTACTAATTGTTGTTTTTATAGTATCACCTTATTTGCGACCAAATTATAGCATGTGTTTCTTTAATCTTTAAAAAATCGTCACATTAAGATTGATAAAGAAATGGTCAGAGTAGTGATCATGGACCTTCAAGCATATTCTAGTCTGTATAATCATATACTAGGTACTCGCTCCAGCATCATATTTTTTTTAAAACAGGCCAAGTTACTTATTCATAATGTAGTTTTTTATAGGTGAAAGAGTTTTTTTTCTAAATTGATTAAGTATTTTTTCAAACAGAAAACCAAATTTATTCTTTTTCGCTAGTAATGCATAACTTGCAATTGATTGTGAAATAGAGCTGGTGGGATTATGTTAATGTTACATTACTATTTTATTAAAATTTATTATTTTCAGTGTGAAGTATTGTTAAACTGCATGGGGGTGCAATGTATCAAAGGAAGAGGAGAAGCAGAAGCCACATGCGCACAATTAAACGCACAAGGTGTTTGTATATTATTCATATTCTATTTATGATAATTTGTGCATTTAATCTTTTCACCTTATAACCACCCTAATTGGATTTATATATTTGCATGTATTTTTTTGTTTAACTTTCTTCTATTAATACAGTATTACAGTAAAGACAGAACATAGAATAAAAGTTTTTTATAATATAAAATTGTTTATTATAGTTATAAAGTTGTTGATTTGAGATAATTGGTTAATGGACATGGTAGCTGCAAAGCCAAGTACCTAAAAGGTATTATAACTGTAAAATATCTTCTAGTTGGTAGATGCTGTGGTGTCACAAGACTCTGATTGCTTCGCGTACGGCGCTCGCCGTGTCTATCGCAACTTTAGTGTGTCCAGTGCGGCTGGCGGCGGCTCTCTGCAGGGCTCCGTTGACTGCTATGATGCAGATAAAATGTTTCAAAATAATGGTGACTACAGCATACAGTTATTGCGAATTTTTGATAGATACCATATAAATAAGACTAGTCAAGGCAGGGTACTTATAATTTATCTATATTTGCCTTGCTTGCATAATAATGATGCAGTGGAAGTATTTTAACTCGAGATCTCCACGTTACAAAGTCCAACAACACGGGAGATATGCTTGTAGTAGCTACTCATCGTATGGGAGTAACTGCTGGGCCAGCAGGAGCGCACCTGGCGCTTCTGGAAAAGCCCCCCGATCACGAAAAAAGTGGACACCATCACCACTTTTGAATATATATTAATATTATTATAGCACCTCTCTTGCATTTTGGCGTCCTTTTTCGATCTCCGCGTTCTGCACGTTGCCCAACCGTCTTCACTCTAAGGTTGATATTGAGTGCCTACTATTGATTATCCTAATTCCTTAATCAGCATCAAGACAACGCTCAGGCATCTTTTATTGATTTATAAATTACAATTGACAGTTTTATTATTTATATTCGTATCTGTTTTATGAGAGATAATTGAAACCTTATTTTAGGATTCGGCCGTAATAAGATGGTTGCTTTGGCTATATTATGTGGTTGTGATTATGGGACCGGTGCTTGTGGTTCGTCGATAAATACAGCCGTATCTTTCTTGCACACTGTACCTGACAGCGACATAATTCCCAGGTAACATAATAGATTAAAAATAAATAGTCTGTAGTTTTAAGTTAAACAGGAAAGAATTCTTAATTAAATTCTATTTTTATTGTATTCGCCAATCTAAACCTGAGAATAAAAAAAGACAAGAATTTTTTCCTTCACTCTAATTTTTCTAGTTTGCTCTATTTTGTGAATAAATAGTGCCAAACACCACATTATTTTGGTTTCGGGTAACCAACGCATGCATCATAAAATTGTAGGTTAAATAGCTGACCTGGCAAATTTTGTGTTATCCCTATCATATTTCTTAAATCGGAGCAAACAATACATATATGCAAAATTTGATTAATATCGATTGAGCGATTTTATAAGAAACCTTAAGGTTTATGGGAATGATATTGATGAAATAAATGTTATAATACTATTTAATGCCAATAGTCTTTTTACATGCACAGGTTATTATCATGGGTGACTGATAAGCAAGAGTATGATGAACGCGCGCGCTGGGCGGCTGCGTCGGGTCGCTGCGATCGCTGCGGACACGTGGGCCGCTCGCATACCCGCAACGGATGCCCCGTCTGCGCTACGCATAAAGGTTGCAGCGATAATGGCCATAAGTAATTGTTACTATTATTTGCATTTTTTTCTATATGCTGGATGAAATTGAAATCGCATGCTTTATTATTTATGGGACTCACTATTTTTTCCAAACAGACATTCTACTAGTATTATAAATGTTAACGTTTTTAGAGATATGTTTGTTGTTACTTAATCACGCATAAACAGTTAAACGGACTTGTATTAAATTTACTACACAGGTGGGTTATTTCCTGATTCAATATAGAATATTTTATATACTGATGCATATGGGTAAAGCCCCGGAAAACAGCTAGTATAACATAGCTGGACGCTTTACTATTTTAGTATGGGAGGCTAATTGTTTTTGTCGTTTCTGTGTTTCTTCAAGAAACATGTTTAGTTTTACTAGAAACACCCCGTTTAAAGAACACTAAATTTAACATATATTTATTTGATAATAGTTTACTTATTTAAAAGATTTAAATTTTATTGTGAAATTGTCGTTAGTTTATCTAAGTATATTTTACATTATTTTACGTATTACTGATCGTACGATAAGTTAATTATCATGACATAAATGAAAAACGGTTGAATATGTTTCGACGAAATTTTATAATTAAGTAGGTATTAACGACTAAACTTTGTTTTGATTCTCGTAAAAACAAACCTTTAACCTAAACAGTTCTATAGAAATCCTATCCAACGTTTGTATAAACTATTGACTAGTCAACCGACAATTTTTTTACTTATAATATTTAGTTACGAGAATAGTGTTGCTGGTTATATTTTACGGGAATTAGGCGAACGAAATATGAAATACATCTTAGAATTATAGGATTTAACATAATAGAGGGGAATTAAAACATGTAGAATATTGCAGTGATTGCAATATCACACTTAAATCAATTCGGAGGAATTGGTTGAAGTATGATATTGCATTGTATTGTATTGACCCCCCAATGACTAGTCAGATGCTATATTTTTTAAAAAGACCAATGCTGCACCTTATTCAGCTATTGGTTTCTGACTAAACTGCTAAAGACATATGGTGGCAACGAATAATATAAGAAAAACAAAATAAGTATGCTAATAAAATAATATATTTGCAGGTCTAAAGTGACGGATGTCAAACGCGAACTCTCTTTGAGATCTCGAGCGTTAACTTGCGGCATGCCATTCCCTGAGCCTAAAGTCATGAAGGAGTTCTTGAACACAACACCAGAGAAAATAGATCTCAATCTTTTGAAAAATCCCACTCCAAATCTAATTAAATTTGTGGTAATTAATGATTTTCCTATAGAGTTTTTTTTTCGTTTATATCTTTCTACTATATCTAGGGAGTATTATTTACCAGTCTGATAAATCAAATGTATCTAACCAGTGCTATATATGGCTAGTCGTTTGCAGATCTTACATTTTTCAATATGATAATTACTTAACTGGAAATTAATTTGAAAAACGATATTAAATTTTTAATTTGAAAATTTCAATGCTAATGGTTTACATTGGGGTTTCCCTTTTTATTTTGCATAGAGAGAATTATAATTTTGTGCAAACGTAAATGGTTTGGACATATTTGGAGATATATATATATATATATATATATATATATATATATATATATATATATATATATATTAATAAATTATAATAAATAAATTTTTTTTAATGGTTTCAGAAATTAATGTCAACCAAACTAGATTGGTCAGAAAGGTACTGTGTTGAGAAGTTTTTACCTCTGCTGACCAAGTGGCATTTACAGGATTATGTTCCCTGCAGAACTATTAAACCGGTTGCAATAAAGAAAAAAAGGAATCCTAGAGGCTAGTAGTTTAGATAACAATAATATTATTAGGGGAATTTACTTAAAAGAATCCTTACACAATTTATATTTGGTATATTGGTCTTGTAATGGATTGCACCGCCTTCAAATATATGAGAAAAGCTAAGGCTTTGATGTGAAATGGACTTGTAATATTGACTAACGGATGCATAGTTTTAAACTAGTCTCTTGAAGCATTGTAAGTGTAAGCATTAAGAAAGGATTTTATAAGAATTATAACCAATATAGATGATACTACTTAGATATTACGTTCCTGTTGATGATGAAAAAATAATCTTATTGGGTACATAAGTAGTTTTGCATTTAAAATTTTATTACGACAGTTGCTAGAAATATTATTTATTTTTAGAGGACTATATTCTGTTAACCCGACGTAGCTCGATATAGATATCAGTAAAATATCGCAATATTTATATTGTTGAAAAAATATCAATATATCGATATTCCACGGCTGCATAATAATCGTAGAGTATTAATTGGTGACGTTCTATGTGCAATCGGAATTTTTTACAATTCATCTTGTAATTACGAACAGTCTGACGGCCCCTTGATAAAAAGAGGTAACCGTCGCCTATACGCATGAAAAGCACCATGGAAATCGCAGAATATACTGTGTCACTTAGGATAACTTCACGCGTTGCTATACTAGAGGACTATAGTGTTATGCCTCAGTACCCTGTAATTTCATTGTTTTTAATTTTAATTTTTTTTATACCACTGAGGTGGCAAACAAATATACGGCCCACCTGATGGTAAGCGGTTACCGTAGCCTATGAACGCCTGCAATACCAGAGGTATTACGCGCGCGTTGCCGACGTTCTTCAGCATCGGCAACGCGCCTTTTATACAGACGCCCTCTAATCTTTTAAGATAATATTGGATACAGAGGAATGTGTTAACGTTAATATCGTTATCAATTTTGATACCAATATCGATACTAATATTGATTTTTTGTTAATATCGTTTATTCTTAAATGGAACTATTCACAGGCGTCCCTAGTTACGTGGTGCTGTGGGCCGACATCGATGGCCAGTACGAAGCGTTGATTCCAGATGAGCAATTTGACCGTAAATATTTTTTATTTATTAATGTACTACATCTAATTATACTTTTAAATGAGTATTTTATTAAAAATGAAAGTTATCAAATAGAATGATCAAAATTGGTTCAGAACTAGCGAAAATATAGTGAAATGTACAAAAATAAACAAAGGTGAATTGGAAACATTCTCGCCTATTTCTTTTGGGTGTTGGTTTGAATTTAAGCAACGAACGACTATATTACATGATCCATGTTTATAAGGGATGGCTGTTTTCTGTTTGAGTTTATTCACTTAACGCAAAATTGGCTACAAACAAATCTAGAAAAATATATATACATATATATAGTTAGTAATGCTCCTAGGGATTTTAATACAATAAAACTTATACCATAAGTTAGTAAGAACGTATTATGTATTTATGTTTCCAATGCACCATGTATATACGTTTTCAAATATTTCCTAATGGAATTAAGTTTTCTTCAATGCTATGATTCGAGAAATATCTATCTCATCATTGCCGTGTGTGCCCCGGCATAGAATAGGCCGCCCCTTCCTTTACCGTGGATGTCGTAAGAGGCGACAAAGGGAGGGCGAGGGATGAGATGCAGTGTCCCTCTTAAAACATTTCTAAAAGCCTAACTGCAGTTGCCAACCCACCTGCCAAGCGTAGCAACTACTGGCAAAATCCCTTAATGGGGAAGGCTTACGTTCAGTGTATGTAATGTGCAGTGGACGGTTAGCGGTTGAAGTAATAATAATAAATTTATCTCAACAGAAATTACAATGGTGAGCGTATTTTATTACCTATCTGTCTATTCATAGATGTATGTCAGTAAACAACTGACATACATATAATCCCTCGAGCCCGCTTAAGGCGTCAGCTTTCGATACATAACATTTATTGTACAATATTACAAATGTTTTCTGTCATGAAACTTTAACCTTAACGTCATAAATAATAAGACGAAATGTATATGTCGTGTAAAAGAATAAAAAAAAAATGTAGTATATTAGTGTTTAAGCCAACTTTTTTTTTCTTATATCCCGGTAGTAATTAGTGTTCGAGGGAATAATAATATATCCATGATCTATAATAATACATTATTGTCTTAATTGTATGAAGGGTTTTTTGAGTATATTTTGAAGGTATGATGTTGGAAACAAATTTTTAAATTAAAGAAGTTCTATTTATAACTTCATTACACTCCGTCTCTAGAGAAATAGCATACAAACTTCCAAGTGTGGTTTTCAACTTTTTCACATCTCTTGAGTATAGGCAGCCTTGCTTCTTGTTCAGAAAATGAATAATGCGCGAATATTTTGTGCTAATACAATACAAGACTGTATTGCTTTCGCATAAAGTTTAAATTCCCTATTTATATTTGTGTAATCAAGAAAGTACATTAAGTTTTATGCAATATTCAAGTCTTTAATCCGATAAAGTTGTTGATTTCTATGACGCAGTTATTACTTTATTTTTTATGTGTAATTTTCTTTTAATTAACATTAACAAAATCAGTATAAAATAAAGCTCATAAATCATTAGGATTATAAAGTTATATGTTAGGTACAGCATGAAAAAATTAAAAGATAATGAAAATATGGCGAATTCTATTGTATCAGTAATCAAAATTGGTTCAAAATTATTTCGCGCAACATAAATACAGCCAAAAGTTCTCTATTTTGTAGCTTCTTAAGAATTGTACACAATTTTTTATCAGCTGTATTTGTGATATTGTTTTCTCGTGGCTTATGTTTATACAAAAAATGGTCAAGCACGAAAATTTTCTTTGTTATAGAGGACGAAGATCCATCTTTATCGTGGACTTCAACAGAACGACAAGACCTGATGAGACATTATTATCCAGAACTAGTGGAAGTCTATGAAGAGAGTATTAAAAAACCTGTAAAAATAAAAAAGTCTAGAGCCAAAAAGAAAGATAAAGATGACATTGAAAAACCAAAACGCAAATACAATAAAAAGGTAAAAAAACTCACAGATGTAGAAATCGCAAATCTTAGTGATACGATAAAGAATTTAAACGTTTCAACAAATGTATCTGAACTTCATTCGAGTAAGACTAACGTTAGCGTGTGCATAAATAAATTGAAAAGGAAATTGAAAACAAACACAAAGAAAGGTCAAAAAACTATTGATAGCTTTATTGCCAAAAAGAAACGCAAGTCGATCAAAAAGGCAATGGACTCATTAAGGTGTAGTTTTAATAATATGTCTTTAATAAGTGAACTTAATACATTTAAATATACGAAAACTACATTAAACGAGAAGGAAAATATGAACGAAACTATTAACTTATTAGATTTGTCAAATCTGGGCGAAGATATGCAGGAGAGTGACCTTTCAGATTTAATAAATAACATTGTCACAAGCTCACCAATTACTAAGACTGTCACTGTGGAAAATAATTTAGTGAAACTAATATTCGATAGTAAATATTCAACACCGAGTAAGTCCTTTAGAAAGAGTATTTTGAGGGACATCCAAAACAACTGTTCCACTCCCAATGACAGCCCAATAAGGAGAAAAAGTTTGAAAAATTCTTATATTAAAAAATCTGACGTTAACACTAGCTATTTTTTTGATAAGTTGACTGATGATCGTGACGCTTTCGAAATGTCAATGGAATACAAACACAAAAGTGCGATTATGTGCCTAGACTGTGATGAGACTGTCGACTACAGTTTACCTGACGTATGTTTGTAAGGATTTGTAAAAATAAATTATGTGATAACAAAGGTAATATGCTATTTTATTTTCAAATTATCTGTAGATACTACGAGGACAAAATTTAGTCAGTTGCGAAATTGTAGTTACCTGAATGGGTTTATACTATCACGTCTTTCTGGATAAACTGGATATTGTCACTTTATTATTTGTTGCTATAATATAATATTGTTACTGCCTGATAGACAGTACTTTTTTTCTAAACAAACAAAATTGCACACTTCATTTTAACCTTAAGTTCCATCTTTAAGTGCCACACGCTTAAGTTCCATCTCGATCATCTGGATCAGTGGCAGTTCTCTATCGTGCGTAAACATTTTTTCTACACACAACTAAATTACAGAACTAACTCACAACGGTGTTATTTCCGAACAGATACGACATTGAAACCTTTAAGAAAACAGCATATTCCTTTTAAAAGGCCGGAACGATGTCTGCAATTTCTCTTATATTGTGGATGCCTTTGGATGGCGGTAATCACTTACCGTCAGGTGCGATACATGTTCGTTTGTCTCTATATTATAAAAAAAAAAAAAAAAAATAGAAAATTAAACAACAAAGTTGCACTTTTTTCAAATAATTACTGTTTGAACATTTATTTCTTTAAGTGCAATATTGTGGAACAATTAGAAATATTTTGTACAAAAATCAGAGGAAAAACAAACTAAAGTTTTGAATGTTCACGAATTTAAATTAAAAAACGAATATGTGAATTTTTGCAACTTCATCGTCAATTTCATATAAATTCAGAACTGTCACATGCACACTTTTACCAAACACGCACACTAGTGTAACCATTTTCTTGTCTCATTTTTATAATTGATTTGTAAGTTTGTTAGTACGTTAAGTTGCGTCTATGGATCGGCTAGTAAAATAATAAAACACTAAAATTCAGAACCTCCTTTGTGAAGTCGGTAGAAAAGTAGATAGGTATTTACTATTTTTCTTATAATGTACGCATACAGATGTAATATATGTAGTTCGTGGATTTCCCTATAATGTATCACAATCCTACGAGATATTTATTTTATGCACTTACTACGCGAGGGTGATGGATGATAGTTCGATAACAAGAGACCTCGAGGCCTATTTTAGGAAGCTGCCATATCATTTTCATGCCGGGCTTATTTTGATTTATTTTAAAACTTTCTACGTACCTTTACGTACGGGTATATATTCACAACTATCTGGGTATATGATTTGTTTTCGGTAAGGTTAAAATATGTAGCTAGTACTATTTATAGGTGGATATCGTAGATACACTTGTGAATTAAGAATTTTTTATTTCAAATTTACAAATTGCAATAACAATTAAACAAGCACACAGACACATACTCGCAGGCACATACTCTCAAAAGCATACATCCTCGCACACACGCTCTTTCGAACATATACGCTTACGTACATGCACACGCCTACGCACACACGAACACAAACACACATTTCTCTACAACATATTTGTGTATCTTTTTTATTTTAAAATGTATATAGAAATTTTGAGTTACTTTAATGATAAAATTATACAAGAACTGAACCATATATAGCAATAAACATATATACTTATTTAATTAATCACTCAACAGAAATTCACGAAACAGACTTGCTAGTGTAGTAATCACTGATAACTAAACTGTGTACCCGCATTTTTGTTCGAATAAAGTTTATGTTTATTAAATTGTAAATATCTTAATATTTTATTAATGTTGTATAAAGCAGCAGTTACAAGAAATAGGTACCTAAAATATAAATATGTATTTAGATATTAAAGAACGAACCAAATTAAAGTTCAGTATCGTGACTTCAAATTTGTTCGATAATAAAATTCGGTTAATTTGATATAGACACGATGATGAGTTAATAGATACAAGCACTACAAATATATAATAACTACAAAACTTACAATTAAAAAACAAACAATCATGAACATAACAGAATACACTGAGGGACTTATCGTAATTCTAATGTATTATGATTCTGAAGATTTGATTATTATTCTTTTATATTTCGTATCCAATAGTCTTACTACTATGTTCTATCTACCCTATATCTGATTAAACCGAAGCGACCATGCAAGTTCAACCGCTTTAGTGAAAAAATATGAGTAGTATGCAACCGTTCAGGCATATACAAATTTCTCTCCGGTAACCAGAACTTGGATCGTAAATTACCTCATGGGAGCGCATAAAATACGTAGAGTATCGTGAAATATTTAAAGCCGTTGTCAATTTACTAGAACCTTGCATAATGTAAATAACCGTACCTAACATAAACACCAAATAGACACATAAATTTCACCATGGAGAGCAATACTTGACTTTTTGTTTCGAGAAACGGAATGTTTCCCATGGGAAATCGGAAAACCATGTACTCTATCACAAAACTGTTGTTCTGTTTAATCTTGTTTTCCTCAATATTTGTATTATTGAAACAAAAGAGAAAAGCCTATTATAAATTGTGCTAATGTCTTAAAACTGTTTTCATATAAACTTTAATAATTTCATTTACGTATATAGATATACTTTGGCGGTTTAGAAAGACAATTAATATATTATTATTAATCTGTTTAAGACATGTGGTAAAAAATATAATCTATAAATTACACGCGTGTACAAATCATATAGTTTTTTTTTAAATGCCCATAACTCGTGAAAATCTCTGAATATACTACCTATCTCATAAATTAATTTAACCATAGCATAGAAATGATTTTACAAAAAAAAAAAAATGTTTAAGTCGCGTCATTTCATCGTCAAAGCTATGAATTATATGGTAGTTAAAATCTGAAGTTTATTTAAATGTCTACAACTCGTGTTTACTTGAAACAAATGTTTATTCGAAATTACTAACTTGTTCTATAATACGTCTAACTATGTACATATTTATTTATTTATTATACAATTAAAAAGGATTCTCTCTAAGCGCATTATAGGTATATTTTCACTTAAATGACATCATTTCAAATACAATTTCAAAGCATTTTCTGCTGGACATTAAAGAGACTTGTGGTCCAAAAATAACATAAACGAATCACCAACAAAAGGGACTGTTTTATTTAGAATTCTAATACAATTATGCAAAACAATTTTGCAGGGTGAAAGGGATTAGAAATTGTTTACTATTTCAGCGAAATGCTACAAATTCGTAGCTCCTAGATGCTACGAACTATGTAGTAGTGAGCTACGAATTCGCCGCGACCTTTTGCGCTTTAGTTTTGAACTATGACGCAGTTTGCTTAATTAGTACATGAGCAATTATATTTTAACGATGTGGTTTAATTTTAATTAAAGTAAAATGTTTGTGTCCGTTTATACTGTTGCTGTTTCGTTCATTTGTATTGCTTTGGGGAATGGTATTATGAACCACATTAAACAATTCTATATTTATTACAAATCAGTGAAAGATTACTAAATATCTTGTATTACCTTACCTTAACTCTATATGAAACAACATTGTTCTACTTTAATTAAAATGTTAAAGTTTGTGAACACGTTTCTGCGTTTGATACTAGATTGTGTATAATGCTAGGCATATTTTTATAAAATTTACGAGTATATCCGTAGGTGCTTTCATAGATCTTACTATTGTATATTTGTAAGACTTACATCTATATATGACCAGTTGTCGGACAGACTCTATGCTGCTGAGGTATTTCTCTAACACCTACTGCGGAGTTCTAGTTTAAGGCCCTGTGGTTTTTGTAGTAAGTAGTTATCTATACAAAAGTATAAAAAAGGCTTCCGTTGCTATTTGCCGGAAATATGGTAATGAGGTGCAATATACTTATTGGTCTGTAAGACCTCTCTGTGACCTCAATATTAGTGGACATTCGTTATTATATTATGTAGCATCACGATAGTCGGAATATCTAACATTAATAAAGAAAATATTGCGCAAGGCCAGCATGCAATGTAAACATTTTTCCTTTTTCTATCAATCCAGTAATCTCCCACTACTGGGCACTTCATGAAAGGAGGATATTATTATAGCCTATTATTAGTGGTCAGCCGGCTAGGTATAGAATTTTATATCGACTTTTTCTTTTGAAACATTGTAACTTTAGTATAAGATTTAGATGAAAATGTAAATGTTAAAATATGTATGACAATATACATATACAAGACAATATATTTTAGATACCAACCATGTGATGAATTTGAACTGAGCTCACTTCATTATACGTAGGTATATAATTACAATTTCGCAAAATACCCATATAACTTATAAGAATTCCAAAGTTAATCAAATACCAACAATCTTTAGCATCAATAGAATAAAGTCTAAACTTCTTAGATAATATTCTAATTAAATAATTATTTCTACCATTTATTTCTCCTGTTTATTTTACTTAATAATGTTGATGATGGATTGTATAATTAATATCTATTGTTATTTTAATGTAAGTACATTTCTAAATTGCAATTGGTTGAATGTAGCGAGAGGAGAGCTCCGCACGGGCTGGTTGATGCCGGCACAATGGTTTCCTCGCGCACCATTCACCTGTAACGTTCTCACGGATAAATCAATTTCCATCATTTCAATCGCTTTCGATAAAACTCGAACAGCTTCAATGGCATTAAGAATTTAAATCGTTAAAATGCCAATCCGTTGGATAGCTCATTTTAATGTTTTGAACTTTTGTCATACAGATAGAATAGCTTTATTATTGATACTTTCTATTACTTTGTATTATAGATTTTGTGTAATAACTACTCGTATTATACAGGTAATATTACAATTATTTCAGTTTTTAGAGTTGTGTAATGAAAAGGAAAAACATTACCACTGTTTCGCAGTGCAGGCATTAAATTAGTATAATTCATGTTCAGAGAATATTTGGATTTACAAGATATTATCGATGTGCTTTGGGTTTTCCTAAATTAAATTATAATTGAGTGAAACAATTGAAATGTCTGTTTATCTTCATGCAAGTTTTTCTTTTCTTCTTTCATTCGAATTCTTATTTCATTTGTTTTCATGAATGGAGTCATTATTCTCTTGCATATCCTAATATAATATGGTATATCATATAATTTCAACTTGGTAAGCTGTAGAGAGGGACATATTCGGAATATCATTGCGTGATAGAATCGGGAGGGTAGACATCCACATAACTAAAGTGTCTGATATAGTTCGAAGAATTTGCAAGCTGAAGTGCAAACAGGCCGGCTCAAGTAACCAATGATGATGTTATCAGTTGTTAACTGACCACTGGTGAACATAGACTTCCCATTTTTAAGGTTTTATTAGCAGTTGCTACGCTTGGCAGGCGGTTTGTCAATTGTAGTTAGGCTTTGGCGATGTTGTACAATGGACGCTGCTGTCCATTCCTCGACAATTAAGTTCCTTTACTAGTTAGTTTCATACTTAGTTTCACCTATTACGATACCCACGGAAAAGGAAGGAGTGGCCTATTGTATGCCAGGACCACACGGCAAATAATCAATTACAGTTGGGGAAGAATGGTTTTCGAATGATAATCACGTATAGGCAAGCATAGTGTGGGGAAACCCTGCCTGTCGTACTTTGTGGCGAAAAATGCCGGAAATCTATGTTCAGTAGTGAAAGATCGAAAAGACATAATGATGATGATACCATACACCAATAGAAAATTGAGTATTATTATTGTTAAGATTCTATGAGAATTCCTATTCCATTATATATTTTGTGTAAACGGTATCATTATTAGAATAATACTACTTATTAGTGAAAACGAAAACACATGGCTGTGAATACTTACATATCTTTTTACTCATAATTTGATAATATAGTACTGTTTTGGGTGTTGTTATTTAGTGCTTAATACAATGGAAATAAACATATTAACTTTTCTATACATAATAATAATAGAAGTTAAAGGCATTAAATTGAATATTCAAGATAATAATAAGAGTACAAATGTTTCTTTTATATGTTCTTGAATTAATCTATACTTATTAAGATTTATCTCTACTGCTTATGTAGCTAAAAAGATCAGGCTGATACAGCAACATCTAAAATATAATGAAACATCCAGACATTTTCATGACTTTTAATTAAGTGCAAGTATAAGATATTAGGTAGTTATTTTACACAATATAATATATGTGTGCGACGTTTTTAAAGACAGCACTCGAGGCAAAGTTTTCTTAATTAAAAATTTAAATTTTAAATATAAATAGGTGGGCGCAGTGATTATTAGAGTTTGTGCCGCAATTACGCAGTAGGTAAACTTGAGCAATCCATGCCCTCTGTACTGTTTCTTTCGAGGTCTAGATGTTTAAACTCGAGGTGTTGGCGGGGCACCAGCGAAGCATGATAGGTGAGATGAATGGGCAGGTCTGTTAGCCTATCGTGATGTATACACCTGGAATTCAGCACGATGGTTTCCAGAGGGACCACGTGGAGGTCGACCTGATAGGGTATATAGCTAGCAATGAGATTGAAAGTCCGCATTACTAACAATCTCTGACCCCCCCCCCCCCCCCCCAGGAATGGGGTTACCGACATGCATGCACTCTAAAGGATTCAAATGCGCTGATTCTATTTCTCTGATATCTATGGATATGAGTTAATGATGGATCGTTTTTGAAAGAGTGATGACTTTGTTCTACACTGCGTACTTCCTCAGCGGTTGTCGATTCTTGTGTACCTCATTGCCACTTCAGCTTGCTTATCCTTCGGGCTATGTTGGTCACTTGGGTTCTTTTAAGGATATCCTCATTTAGGATTCTATCACGCAAAGAAACTTCGAGCATATCCCTCTTTAATATGAAGTTTTGCATACGGGGAATGCATACGGGGGAATGTGTTGTACATTTTATTAATAAACGCTGGATGTTTGTAAAGTGGGTAATCATCGCAAAGATCAGTACATGTATAACTTTATAGATAGAAAGATATAACAGGCAGATTTCCTTTGTGCAAATTCATAACAAAACTCAAAATGTGTTTCGTTTTATATAGAGATCTAGTTAGACAACAAAGAATTTCGTTATTATTCAAATATTGATACAAACAATATATTTTCATGTTTCTGTTAGTATTTCTAATGTTGACACTTCATTAATTTATAACTACTGTGGAACATGAAACAAGTAACGAACAACGACCAATTTTACACATAAAATACCTACCTATTCATTATAAAGTTCATGTTTCTGTGTGTATCTAGTGTTATGTTCTTAAAAATTGTTTAATTTCTACAAGTGCGGGTGATATCATGCAGTTGTTAGATTAGACAGCATTTCCTGTCGCAGGCAGGTAGGTATAAGATAAGTGCACTCGCGCTCCCAGATTTGTCTAGATAGGTTCACACGCTTGAGAACAAAACCACATCTAGATTCTTCAAGCGTACAACGTACCTATAGGGCGATCGAATCGTAAAATGCTATGAGAAAGTCTAAATCCTTCTTAACCTCATCACTGTGTTAGAAGGAGAAGCGTGGCGGGTTTGTTCACCCCTATATCGTGAGATGTCGCGGACGCTCGGGGAGAGTCGGGAGGCTGCGCCGCAGGGCGCGCGCGCGTACCCGGCCGCTTCGTCATTGCGACGGAGGCTGTCGTGTGTCGGCGCTGGCCCGTGCGAGCGCTCGTCCCGCACCGCACCGCACCGCGCTGTGACCGTGCGTCACCGGAGCCGCGTCCGCCGTGTGAACACGCCCTCGTGCCGAGCTCAGGCGTGCTGTGTCCTACCCGGTTGCCGCCAACCGCCTAACGGCCGTCGGTGCCGGTACGGTGCCACCGCGCAGTGCATGTGCCTCTGTTCCATAGCTCAGTGACCACGTTCCCGGGGACCGGCGATTGTGGCGCGATGTAAAGAAGCCGCGACCGTGAATCTATGTGTAAGTGGGTGCGTTGCGTATGTCACTTCCCCGCAGGGTGATTGACGTTCGCCGGTAACGATTTTCCGCAAGCTAACAGCTCCAGCGAGTAGCATTTGGAATAAAAATGAATGAATTACGAAGTAGTCCGCACTGGGTGAGCGACGTTGTATTTTCACCTTTGTGTGAAGGAGATAAAGATGCGCACGTGCGCTGTTGTCTCTGATCAAAATGAATACGTTTCCAGGCTTGATCATCAGCTCAAGAAACTATAAATATTTAGGAAGTAATAAGTGCGAATGATTAGAGTTATATTGTGAGTGTCGTATATCGCGAATGTAACAGGTGTTGTTGAAACCGAGGCTAGTGGAACTTGACATTGAAGTCTTGCGGATTGTTATAAAAATCAATATTATTTTATTCATACACGAGTCAGTGATCTGTAAATTTATGCACAATGTCTGTTGGGAATTCGTGAATTCAGGTTCTAGTAGTTATTCTCTTTGACTTGGTAATTTATTTGATCATCTCCCTGCAGCTATTGTCTGCGCTTCATTCGTAAGGGCTGTATTTGACGACGCGTAACGCAATACGTGCATTACAGCACAATAATAAAAAAAAAAAAGAAATGTAATTGTGTTATTTTAATGTGTTATTTTTATTAAAATAGATTTGGTACAGTACGGTACACTGATTTCAAATAAGTTATTGCCCGCTACTTCGTAAGCGTTATTTTTGGAAGAACTATATTCCCACTTCCAGATAACATATCAAAATAAAACACACCAGATTTTAAGTTAAACCTTCTTTAGAACATACTTGTATGTAAAAACCGCATTAAATTTGGTATAGTTGTTTTTGTTTGATGTCAAGATAAACACACAGAGAAACAAAAACTCTAAAAATTGTTTTTTTGGCCTATCAATTTTTCTTATATATCTTCAATGTACCTACAGACACTGCCTAGTTACAATTTTGTTATATTAGTCAGATAAGATGATTTTAAATATATTGAAGACACTTTCCTTATATGAACGAATATACTAGTATTTCCTTTGTTGTGACTACAGTATTTCATTCGTAGTCATAATTAAAGTACTTAACTGTTTTATATAAAATTCAATCTCAAAATACCTCCTATTTTTGGTAAACACTTGAACTTGTTGACAGACAATGATAGAACAGAAATGTATAAATTAAATTATATAATTTCAAAGAACTATCTTTACGTTTAGTTTAACAACTACATATTTATCTATTTGATTAGGATATTTCTTTAAGTTCTTGTTTTTAGTTTTGCTCAGATTTAGACAAATACTTTTATCAAATTAACTTCTTTTGCAGATCTACGAAGAATCTGCCCATATTTTTAGATCACTGGATATGCAACTTTTGCTTTCGTACAGCATCATAAGAGTGGCATTATATTTGAACAATTACACATTTCCTACAGATTCAGTATGCTGAATAGGTTTCCTATAACAAATTTTCTCTTTACATTCACTGTTTTCTTCACTGTTCTTCTATACTTCCAGTTTATCTATATATACAGTGATATTTTCTTGCTAGATTTATATCAAAAATATATAAAATTGGCGCTCTCACTCAAATAAATCTTAACATCTAAAGTATTAAACTCTTGTATGAACAATACTAGTTCAAAGTTTTCTTCTTTTGAACAGTAGTTTTTAATTTTTATCATATTCAAACGTATACATTTGTTTTACATTTATGTAATCGCGTCTCTAAATTGATTCTTATCTAGGTGTTCTGGGTTACGATCCCAGATGGGCAATACTACCTTGCATTATGAAAAGTCAGGAAACGAACTTCCTGATTTTCCATAACAAACGTTAGATTAGCTCACAAACTAGCCAATTGATGTGATTGTGTGGCATTAATTGTGTATTCCATGTGACCGTTTTTGATAATAGTGCAATCAATTCCATTCATAGTCTTATATCTATGTTGTTTATCCATATGAAAAATTACTGTATCCTCGCAGTTTCTCTCGAGTGGATTAGTATTAACTTAGTATTAACTTGTCCGTGTACCAAATTTTATTCAAACAAAAAAATGTTTTCGTGAAAAAGTACAAACATACATAATTCCTCACAAACTTTCGCGTTTATAATAACAGTAGGATTATCCAGATAGAGAACAAATAGGTCTCAAATCAGAGCCCCTGATACGCGAGCTCTGACATTCAAGACGATACTCTGCTGCTACACAGCTCGCATCAGTTGTTAGAAAATTTATCTAATTAGCATTGCACGTGTGCTCGTGTATAATGACAATAAATAATTACTTTACTTTCGTTTGTTTGAGCGACGGGCGAAGTTCCTTACCCACTGTATTTACACTCATTACTGTGTACTTACCGGCCTGAGTTGACTTTCACTTAACGTTTCAAATATTAATGGAGATTTGGTAACAAAGAGTAGTAAAACAGGATTTCCATAAATTATTTTGTTATAATTTTATCCAATACTAATGATTCAGCCCGGCTTCGCAGGAGTAGATAGAATTTTGGAAAATAATACTAATACACCTATATTATCATTGAAAATGTAGCTTTCTGTAGGTGAAAGAATTGTTAAAAATTGGTTCAATAGTTTTTGAGTTTATCCATTAATTTCAATTAAATATCTCCTTTTTATAATATTAATATAGATAACATACAAAGAACATGTTTTTATATTTGCTAAAAATTTAATTTTGTGTAAAAGCTTTCGGTTATTAAATATTGATGTAGCTTAAGGAAAATTTTATCTAATGAGAAGAAATTATGCCAGCAAAAATCCGTCGTCCAGGTTACAGTACCTCACTTTATGAAGCACATAATGTCCGAGTCTCTATATTGTAACTTCTTTATCTTTTTCTACATTTCTTTAAAAATACATATTATTAAGTTAAAATTTATCTCTATTATCGTTATAATTTAATGGGAACTCTTTATAACATATTGTATACATACTTAGAATAAATTTTACCTGTGACACAAAAAAAGAACAAAAAATAATAAATCAAAGTTATTTTAAAAAGTCCATACAATTATGTGGTTAACTGAAATAAAAAGTGTCATAATTATTCCAATCCTTTTCAATCCCGATGAATCAAAAATGTATTGACGAGTAAGATTGCAATATGCATCTGTTGATTTAATCTAAATACTACAAAGGAGAGTTCTTGATTTAAATTTATCGTTTTACTTAAATTTGCGTAAATTTTTTTTAAATACAAAGTTTTTATCGATATATATATAAGTTAACCAGAAAAAAATCTTTTTGATGTATAACAACATTTAGGCAACTCTTAAAATATTTGTTTAAAAGTTTGACGGATTAAAACTGAGCTACGTGTATGTACTAGCATTAAAATATAAATATAATATTTACGCTCACGAGAACTATAAGTGCACATATACAGATAGAGAGATGAAAAAGTACTAGGATGTATAAAACTTTCAAGAATTCTGAGGTCTACCTCAGAACGTATGATAATGGTACATACAAGAATCAATGTTTTGTTCCAAATAGCCCATTCCCGTCGCATTGCATAATAATGTTGCGTTGTTATCTTTCCTGGTATGGTGCTAAGGATTTTGATTGTTACTTATTTTTACGATTATTAAATTGTATTATTCCACAATTTTATTTTTCTATAATAAGGTTTTGCCTTATGACATTCTTAAAAAATTAATTTCTTTAAAATATGTTTATTCAATTATTGATATTTTTTTAAAATTTGGTCTTTGCGCGGAAAGGTCAAATTATGAGTTATGTGCATAATGAGGTACACGTTTATTTTAACACTAGCTTTTGTCCGATTTGTAGGTACTCGTGAGACTTTAAGGAACATAACTCTGAATACTGCATTTAATTTGGTGCCGTAGTTTTTGAGCGTAGCCGGAACGAACATACCGACAGATAGACAAATTTTGTGTTATCTCCTATATGATGATGCCATAAAAAAAATATATATAAAAAAAAAAGAAATAGCACGCACATTGTCGACTACAAAAACGACAGTATAGCTTTCTAGATAACGGTCGCAAACGTTTTTGGGACACGTAAGAGCCAAAGCTTTTGAAAAAGTGCGGTAAATTGCCGAGTAATGTAGAAATGGAATGCGACGCATATCAGAGCATCTCTCGTTTCGGGGGCTCGCTTGAACAACGAAAACATTTGGGGAATGAGCGTATGTCACAAGCAGCCCAAGTAGGAATAAATTTTCTGTGTAGCATACGTGACAGTCGTCGAAACGGGAACATGTCGGAAATTTTAAATGCGCGTTCAATTTCAGAAAGTTGTGTGTGTATCGTTGTACAGAGCAAGGTTGCATCAGTTTCTAGTGGCTGTTCGATTGACTATCATTTATGAGTATATTAACACACTACGAAATTATTAGAGAACTTTAATCTGTGGTATTAGCACAATTCATTATCGGAGTTACTTCACAAAGCACTGCTAGTACTCAATTACTATTGGTGCAAGGGCAATGTCCTCTAATGTCACGAGTGCGTACTATTGCTTTCGTTGGTCACGAAGACTAGTAACGTGGTTTACCCAACAACTGTTTTCGTTCTCCCCGAAGTACGAAGCCAGTGTTAATAATTTTTAAACGAACTAAATATGTTTTTGATAAATTCAGAGTTTTAAGTTGGGGTTCAATCTTTTGGATCGGGAAAAAAGGATTGTTAGTAATGGGGTCTATCAGTCTCATTGCTAACACCTTATCAGGTCAATTTCCACGCGGTTCTCTCTGGAAATTATTGTGGTTAATTCTTGCGGAATTTGTCATGATAGGCTAACTGGCCTGCTTTCATCCTTACCTGTCATCTCTCATTGGTGCCCCGTCAGCGTATATCTATAGTGCAGCTGGGGTTAAGATTCCACTATTAACCATTAAAAATTCTTTGGATCCCCGGTCCGCAGTTATTTATCTGTTTATTGCAAATATTTTTTTATTTAGTTATTTTTATTTTATTTGATAGTATAGAATAAAATAATCATTGGAAT